TCAGGGCTTAGTGATCAGGACCAGGGCTCAGTGACCTGGACCAGGGCTCAGTGACCAGGATCAGGACTCAGTGACTAGGACCAGGGCTCAGTGATTAGGACCAGGGCTGAGTGACCAGGATCAGGGCTCAGTGACCTGGACCAGGGCTCAGTGATCAGGACCAGGGCTCAGTGATTAGGACCAGTGTTCAGTGACCACGATCGGGGCTTAGTGATCAGGACCAGGGCTCAGAGATTAGAACCAGAGCTCAGTGACTAGGACCAGTGTTCAGTGACCACGATCAGGGCTTAGTGATCAGGACCAGGGCTCAGTGACCTGGACCAGGGCTCAGTGATTAGAACCAGGGCTCAGTGATCAGGACCAGGGCTCAGTGATTAGAACCAGGGCTGAGTGACCAGGACGAGGACTCAGTGACTAGGACCAGGGCCCAGTGACCATGACCAGGACCTGGTGACCAGGACTAGGGCCCAGTTATCTGTTCCATGGCCCAATGATGGGGACCAGGGTTCTGTGCATGGCTCTAGGACATAGCTTCTGTGACATCCTCCTGGTGATCCCAGGACCCCTCTTTGGGTGTTAGCTCCTACAGTGCCCGGTCACTGCTGGGCTGCTGGATGAGAGGCACCCTCTGTCCCTGCCCACCGTGACTCCCAGTGGGCCTCGAGGTCTGCCTCCCTCGCCTTCCCCTGACCCTCGTCCTCATTCAGAGTCTGGAAACTTAGTCCTTGGACCACTTTATTACACAGGGAGGCAGGCAAGTGGGGCAGGCGCTGGCTTCAGGGAGGGCTGGGTTCTGGCCTGTGCAGCTGTCTTCTCGGAGCGGTTCCTCCACGCTTCCTCCCTGCACAGACAAGAGTGGTCAGCACCTGCGGGAGTCCTGCAGGTGAGCCGGGTCCTCGCCGACGCCTCCGCCCCTCCTGGCCTGGCGCAGGGAGGCTGGGCTGGACGCCACGCGGCTGCACCCGAGTGAGGCTCAGGCCCCGACTCCAGGCTGTCTGTGAGGGGCCCCTCCCTGGGGAGCAGGGCTCTGCAGTGGGGACAGGCCGTGCCCCGCTCAGAGCTGAGCACCCCCGCCCATTCCAGCCCCCGTCCTCACCCCAGGCCCCACCTGTGCCCTGCTGCCCCCGCTCAGTACTGAGGGCCGTCTCTGCTGCCAGGGGGGCCCCGGACGCTTGTCACGGTCAGCGCCGTGCTGTAGAACAGGCTCAGCAGGAAGAGCGTGAGGAAGGTGATGGTGGTGGGCCACAGGCTGGCCCCCGGGGCGCCCTCCTCCAGGGTCTCGTGCGGCAGGTCCAGCAGCACGCAGGGAAGTGGCTCCCGCCAACCTGCAACACACCGTGTGGGTGGGGAGCCGGGACTGCCCCTCCCCCCGCACCTCCTCGGGGTCTGGGGACAGCGGCGGTGGGGTTCCCCATCGCAGGAAGGATGGGAGGCAGGGGACCCCCATCTCCGAGGGGCTCAGGGCGCCAGGGCGAGAGACCTGCAAGGGCAGAGGGTGGCCGTCATCCACTCCGAGGACAGCCCGAGCCCAAGGCGTCCCGGGTCCCTGCCCACCCACATGCTCAGCCAGCCCTCGCCAGGCCGGCTCTGAGGACCAGGCACACCCGCAGGGAGATCTGGGTCCAGACAGAGGCCTGGGTCTGGCGCTCAGAGTGCCAAGGGCCCAGCGGGCAAGACCAGAGGCTTCTGTTGCCTTCCCAGGGAACATGGCTGAGGGGCCACGAGGGAGGGCCACGAGGGAGGGCCACGAGGGAGGGCCACGAGGGAGGGCCAGGGGAGGGCCACGAGGGAGGGCCACGAGGGAGGGCCAGGGGAGGGCCAGGGGAGGGCCACCAGCACAGCCAGCCCTGTGGTCCTCAGGCTCTCAGGGTACAGACCTCCCATGTGGACCTGGTTGTCCTGTACTGAAACCTCTGATCATTCAGCTGTCCACCCACCTGTCCCTCTATAAAGCTATCACCTGTCCATCTACCTGTCTATAAAACTATCACCTGTCCCATCCACCTGTCTATAAAGTTATCACCTGCCCGTCTATAAAGATATTACCTATCCATCCACCTGTCCATCTATAAAGCTATCACCTTCCATCTGCTTGTCTGTCTATAAAGCTATCACCTGTCCATCTATAAAGGTAGCACCTATCCATCTACCTGTCCATCTCTAAAGCTATCACCTGTCCATCTACCTGTCTGTCTATAAAGCTATCATGTGTCCATCTATAAAGCTATCACCTGTCCATCTATAAAGGCATTACCTATCCATCTATGCATTGTCTGTACAGCTATCACCTGTCTACCCACCTGTCTGTCTATAAAGACATCACCTATCCATCCACCTGTCCATCTATAAAGCTATCACCTGTCCATCCACCTGTCCATCTATAAAGCTATCACCTGTCCGTCTACCATCCATTCACCGACGGCCCCATCACATGTGCTGTGACCCCCCCACCTGCCTCTCTCCCTCTGCTGGGGCAGCCCCCTCATGACTCTCTCTGCCCCCCTCTCCTAGGAAGCCCCTCCTTCGGGCCGGGCCTGGCCCTGAGGGTGGCTGCAGCACTTCCCGCCTGGCCACGTGCCGTCCCTTTTGCCTTCGGTGACTGCGCGCTCAGTGGGGAGCAGTGGTGGGCGTGTGTGGGCCTCCGCCCAGCTGGGCCCTGAGAGCAGAGGGAGGCAGCGGAGGCCAGGTCCCCTGGGGAGGCCATGCGGTGTCTGAGACAGGAGCAGGGCCCCTGCCCCCTTGTGGGAGCGTGGCGCAGGTGTCGCACGGCCGTGGGCTGCTCCCCTGCTGCGGCGGCCTGCGTAGGCTGGGGAGCTGCCGCCCTGTCCTGTCCTGCCCGGCCCTCCCCAGCACCGTCCTGTTCTGTCCTGTCCTGCCCGGCCCTCCCCAGCACTGCCCTGTCCTGTCCTGTCCGGCCCTCCCCAGCACCGTCCTGTTCTGTCCTGTCCTCCTGGCCTTCCCCAGCACTGCCCTGTCCTGTCCTGTCCT